CCCCAAAACCCCAAAACCCCAAAACCCCAAAACCCCGAAGGATTAGGAATGATTTAAAAAGTGATAGATTTTGTATGAAATAAATATAAAACATAAAGAAATGGGAGGAAAAGGAAGTAAATCTGCTCTTTGAAATCCATCATCTGAACAAATTGGAGCTGCTCTCTTAGCTAGAATTTTCAGGTTCGACTTAAACAAAGGAGTTAATCCTACTTTATCACTTGAAAACAGAGTTCAGAGAGAAAGCTCAAACGAAATTGGAGAATTTCCGATGAACCATACTACGCACATCTTAATGACTGAATTCAAGAAGTTCATATACCTAAATTCACTTGAAATCCTTCGTCAAAAAAGAGAAGGAACTCTTGACACAGAAGAGAATTACCAAAAGAATGGAGTATGGTACTACAAAGCTCCTTACTCAGCACCTCCATACCTTGACAAGATATGGAAAAATCTAATTCTTTACAACTTCATCTACGAAGACTTCTGCCAAGGGGCTGTAGGTGGGTTTATAGATCGGACTCCACCCATCACTGACTATAATGTAGCATTCGAACAGTACCAAGAATGTCTAAAACATCTCGATGAGAAGAGCTCTTTACTGAAGCCATTCCATGGCCTTTGGCCAAGGTACAAAACTGTCAAGGAGTACAAAAGAGATTTGGAATACTTCAGCTTCATTTCAGAGAAAAATATCACCAAGATCAAGAAGGAAATGATTAAGAAAATTCAAGAGAATGATCCAAAGACCCTTGATCTTGATGAATGCTTCAAACTTGCCAAGAAAATGTCGAAATTGGTGAAGATCACCTGTGAATATGATCAGCCTGAGCTTGAGCCTATCACTGGATTTGACTGTAAGAATCCTTGGTATGGCAAAAAGGATATGGACCCTGCTGAGGCATATAAGCATATCCAATCCATGGAATTCCCAGCTTGCTTTAAGGAAGATCTCATGAAGACTAACTTAGTTGACAGTGATACAGCTGATAAATGGATCTTTGAATATAAACTGTTCCTCACATTAGGATACACTGCTCAAAAGGTGGTAACCCCAAGCGAGGAGACTGATCAGGTGTGGCATCTTCATCAGACTTACACTCGACACTACAGGCAGAGCATGAAAAAATTCTTAAAGAGGAAATTCAAGCATCAGCCTACCCTTGGTGGTCAATCTGAGGCTGAAAAATGGGACGAAATGTACAATGGGACTATTAGCCTTTACAAAGAACTATTCAATGTTCATCCTCCTGATGAAGTATGGGGAACTGCCGAAGAGAGATTTAACAATGAGAAGTTCACCTTCAGGAACGTTAATCTCTATAGACTAGCAGTGATGCTGACTGTTAGCCACATTAATCCAGACTTTTTAGTCTTTAATGAATCACTCGAGCGTCCTTCAGTAAAGAATTCTGATGAGGTCCCTGATGACTACTCAGAAAACTGAATGGAAATCAGAAAGAACATCAGAGAGGATTACATCGCTCAGGGTCTCAAATATGGCTGGAGATGAAACTATAACGGATCTGGTTACTATGACGTCTGAGACTGCGGAATGGATGACTGTGAATATCTACCTGAAAATATAAAACCAACAGTTGAGCATCGAGCATTTGGCTATAAAGGGCCACATTACTTAATCACTGGAGGTACATTATTCACTGGTCAGTTTATGTAAGTTTAAATATGTTAATAAATGTAGCGAGAAGTACCATAACCAGTCTGATTTCTCTAATTTTGCTAGAGAAGTCCATCAAGAAATGTACAGTGAGGTCCAATTCGGCTACTTCGATGCCCTCAACATCGATGATATTGCCGATTGAGCTGAAGCTGGGATTGATATTTGCTGTAAGTATGCTCTTTAAAGATCATCTTCCCCATTAAAACATAACTCTAATTTATTTAGGAGAGCCAAACTTAGAAAAGATCCATAAGCACCTAAAGAAGGGAAGACAAGTCATCTCAAGAGCTTCCTTCCAAGACTGATACAACATTCCTGCCTCAGTTTGGTCCCTCCGAGGGGTCATTGATTTCAACAATCTTAAAATGGTAGTCGAGCCAGGATTTGAGGTTGAAAAGTTGTCTGGGAACAGCATCAGTGATACCTTCGACCATGACGCTGTTCTGGCATCTTAACATAAATTCTTTATGATCTTAATCAATATTTTGTGTAATAAAAGGGGTTTTGGGGTTTTGGGGTTTTGGGGTTTTGGGG